AGCCATTTTTGTGGTGCGTCTTCACTTGTTATTCTGATATTAAGGAACAGGCACCTCATTCTAGCAAATAAAATGGAGGTTTATCATAGGAAGGTATTGGAACTGGGGGGAAAAAGCCATTCTGAGGACCTGCTATTTATTTAGCCTTTCTCATGACCCACCTGCTTCATTTTTTAGATGGCTCTGATTCTCTTGGTAGGTCAGATCCTCATAGATACAGTGGAACACAAACCCCCAAACTCCCCCACCAACATTCCTTTCTATCTTTGCCCCATTACTAGTGCCCTACTTCCCAATATAAATTTCTGAGACTGAAAAAAACCTAACTGAACCCTCAACTTTATGCACAAGGTGCTGGTCCCTGGTTTAATCAGCTGTTAGGTATAGAGTGGAGAGGAAGGCAGAGTGATATGGTCCTTAGCCAGCAGCTGTGGATGGAGTAGTTTAATTCTAAAGAGGCTGCAGATGAGCAGGGGATCTTGATGAGTCCTAATGAGTGTCTGATGTGAGAATAAAGGTGAAAGGACAAACAAGCACCTGGCCTGCCCTCCAGATGCTTATAATTCACTCAGACATAATTGACTATAATACCAGGCAGGCAAACATGAAAGGGAGTCCCAAGGTGGGAGAGATTAATTTTTTTAAAAAAGAATAGTAATTGCAGAAATCTCTCTGCACAAGGAGACATTCAAATAACCAGTGATATAAGAAAATAGTGGCAGAGGTGAATATAAGGTGTCTTCCACAGAGGCTGAAGAAATGGAACTAAGTTATAAGGGTCCAAATTGGGAGGCTGACCTTAAGAGAATAGCAAAAAACAGAGTCTGGAGCAATTACAAATTGCATTAGAGGAAGAATAGGAAGAGAGACAATTGGAAAGAAACTTAGAAGCAGCTCAAGAGGGCCTTGAAAACTGGAATAAGAAATGTTTACTTCATTTTATAGTAATTGGGAGCCATTAAATATTTTCTAGAAAATTATTCCAGCAGCAGCCATCAAGGTGGACTGACACAATGACAAAATCTAAGAGGGAAAATTCTTATCATGGTATCAGAGAGAGTTAATAAAAGGAGTTGTGATTGTGGGAAGGCAGGAATTGATGCTGGGAATGTGCACAAATAAAAGAGCCAGGGAAGCCACTGTGTGGGTGGAGAAGGCAGAAGTGGCCCTTTTCATTCAGTGGTTTTGAGTTTTGTTGAAAGCAAAAGGGAGGGTGAGACCTTCACTGGCACTAAGGAACGTGGGAAAAGGATAAAGTTTGGGGGGAAAAGTTAAGGGACTATGAGTAGGGGTTACATAGTACGAGATAAAATAAATATCTGAAAGATCTAGGACAGCACCCAGAGAAGGGAGATTATATGAGATCCAAGAAACGTTCTAGAATAGAGGAGACTTTAGCATATTTAAAACCTATGGAAAGGGATCCTGTAACTCTTTCTTGGTATATTGTGAGGATTAAATAAGATGATGCTTAGGGAAAAGTGCTTAGCACAGTGTCTAGAATATTCTAAGTCCTCACTGTCAGCTGCTTTCAATACTGTTACTTTCAACGCAGGTTCTGTTTCAGTTTCCGTTACTAATTCACAGATGCAGGTGGTGGGGAGACCTCTTAGCTGTGCCAAACCATTCAGATTAATAAATGAACTCTCTGTTGTGCTACAGTATCCACTTAGAAGAGAACAGCAGTCACAGCAGTGACATTGCCTAAGAACTAGTGCTATTCTACTTCTGGTTTTCCTGAGATTGAAGGCAAATTACTTTCTTTACCCTGATGTGGGAAGTGAATAAGAACAGAATCTTGCATATCACAATATAAGATTTAAATGAAATCCTATAAACAGCTTTTTGTTAACAGTATGGTCTTCTAAATATTTGCTCCCAATTTTAACACATTACTGAACACCAATGAATATCCCATCAATAATCGCCATCACGTGATCAAAAAGTTACATTGGATTCATGTGTGAAAAAAAAGCTTTAACGTCATTAGATTTAAGTATTATTATATAATCTTTCCCCGAAATAAATCTGTTATTAGGCCAGAAATACCTAACAAGCTATTGTAGCTCTCTTGGTCCAGAAGGGTATTTAATCAAATTAATAAGAAACAGGCAGTTCAGTTTGTGTCAACAGAAGGACATTGTTCCCACTACCCATTTATTAATTCATAAGAGGTTAATAAATAACTTACTTTGAATAAAATAAATCACTGCAGATAAAAACTGTGTCCCTGGTACAAACAAAAGTTAATAGGTGTGTAAAGACGCATGAAAACTGCATGGTGTGAAGGTTACTGGATCCACCAAAACCCCAGATTCTTGCATCTGTGTGCATACTGGAGCCTGATTGGCCCAACTCCAGTTGAAAATAATTTTCTTGAGGTGACATTCCATCTCTTGTGCCAATTGAAAGTCTTAGCTCCTCCAGAGGAGCAAAAATATCAACAAAATATAAACTTGACCTCATTTCACACCCAAGCGCACCATTCTGATTGTTTTACTAGACTCCTCAGCGAGCACATTAGGTTTGTTTACTGCAGTTATAAACCAGAAACTGCATTCTATGTGTCCTGTATTATCAGGTCACTAAATCTAGAAAGAAAACGTGGAAAAGTTCAATATCATGATTATTCTATTATAAAGAAATAAACATTGTTGCTGTTGATCATATGTGTCGTAATCGATGCTAATCTTAAATTTTCACATCTCCTGGTAAACTTTATTTTGCCTTAGCTCATAAGGAATAGTAACAAAAGAAACAAAAAGGCAAATGATCTGAGAATTACAATACTTCAAATAAATAGGATTTGGGTAATCAGGTGTTAGTGTATGTGCCAGCAAGTTTATTTTAATACACAGCTAGAAATAGGCTTCCAATCGCAAGTCACTTTTGTAAATAGTATCCTCTCTTATGGGGGAAGCTATGTGCCCTCCTGAACACCTGGCTAAGAACATGTTCACTTTCATGTATGCTCTGAGCTGCCTTTCCTCCAAATAAAAATAGAAACTAGTTTGTAGCACCACATGGGGCTCCAGCGTATTATATGAGCCTATCACTGGTTTCCTTTGATATCTTATCTATTCCATTAACTCAATAAAATAGAAGGCAAAGCTGGGGACAAATTGCAGGAGGGCTCCCCTTGGAAAACACATGCAAGACCTTTAAGCTGGGGCTTTAGCTTATCTAATAAAAGCCAGTTAAAGGAAGCTGATACTTCATTTTTCACCCCCTTTATTAAAGATCATAAGTATTGCAACTCAGGAGTAGAGAAAATAAAATAAATATATGGAGGAGTACAGGTAGAGGCAATAAAGAACATGGCTTATCTATTTTCTCAAGATTTAGGAAGCACTTGAAGGCAAAACTCACAGACAAGCATTTTAAAAATCTATAACAAAGGCTCCTGCTTCTTAGCAAATACAGTGGTCCTTTCTGGCTGCAGTAATCCTGCTGGATTTCTTAGTAGAATATAAACAGCTTAACCTAGGCATAATCAGGGAGGATGCCACCTACCACTCTTTCCATATTATCCTTTTATATAAATTTAGTAATTCAGAGAGAGAAAAAAAAAAGATTGATGAATCCACTCCTCTGCTCCTCCACCACCCAAAGAGAAACAATACTAGAACTCAAACTCTAACAACCAAACTAAAGGAAAGTGTTCCACCTAGAGACTGTTTTCATGAGTCAAAGTGGATGAGAGCTCATCTAGGAAATGAATATTATTTTAGCCTATCCTTGCAAGTTTGTACTAAAAAATGAAGCAAAAGGTATTGCCCCTGGTGTAATTAACAATGTTAATTTTCTTTTTCCTCTCTATGGTGATAAAGCAGTCATTTTTATATTTAATTAATGCAGAGGATCATTTTGGAAACTGGCTAATGAGCCTCTGATCACATTACCATGAAAATGTGCATTAACATTGCAACTGAGGAGGCTGTTTCATGTGTAGCAAATCCACTTTGTAATTAGCCCACTGTGAAATGAATCACATCAGGGGGAAATCTGAGGGAGCCAGTAGTTAGTGGGTACTTGGCTACTGCTGTGCCATGGGCCACCAACATGCCAAGCATCGTCTTTCATCAGCAATCTTGTCTAAGGACAAATGTAATACTGTGTCACCTTTGGGACAAACTGCAAGAAGGGAGAAATAAACTTTATTTTGCTAGATAAGAAATTTGAACTTGAGCATACACTCCCAGGGGAACCTCCCCCAATAAAACAGTAAGTTAAGAAAATTCTGTGAAAACTATAAGGGCTTAGGATCTAGTTTTCTTATTTGTATTCTGAAAAAGCCCTCGGATACACATAAAAGAGACATCTAAATTTATACACTTTTTTCTAGGTCACCCACAGTTGTTTTCATAAGCTCTCAAAATTAATTTCTAGTGCTAAACAAACAAAAACCTTATAAAAAGGAGCTAAGAACAAGTGGTAAGAGAATTTCTTTATCTTCTTTTTCAGTCGGGACAGAGCATATATTTTTTTTCCCATGTAATACAAAATTGCTAGGTCTTCCTCTTAAACCAAAGCACAAATTCTCAATTCATCCAATAATTTCCTCTGGCTAACAAGATTTGGCAGGAAACTTCTCCTGTCTATTGAAAATAACAGAGATCATAGACTTATTAAACCCCAATATTTATGCAGACAATGATACAATTGATTTTCAAATGTCAACAGTATTCCAAAATGAAAGAGGTATCTCAAAATATTACAGACATGGATCTCAATGCTACTCCTGTTATGTGACTGACATCTTGGCAGTAGATACACAAAATGTTAAAAAGAATCCCACAGGAAGTCATCTGAAGGGGGAGTGGCAAGGAAGCTGAAAACTGCCACCCAAAACCAAAATAAAAAGCCCCAAACCAGCAAGTCTGCCCTCAATTCTGAAATGTACTGAAAGAAAAAATAAAGCTAGCCAGAATTCATTTACCATCTTACAGACAAAACACAAAGCCTGGCTCTTAGTTGCTGGTATCAGACCCTGCACTCACCTGGGAAACTTCATACAGCAGTTTGTAGTGTTCCTCTCTTTTCTGAAAAGTGCACAAATTGCAGCCCATTCTAAGAAGCAGAGAGAGAGAGCAAATCTTCTAATTTCCCCAGAACTGAAAGGCAAGTGAACTGAAAGGGAATCACCCTCCAGACTTGACTACTGTTTTTCATCAGTCACTTCAGTCCAGAAACACAGACAAACCGCTGTTAGCTGGAAGCGTAAGCCAGAGTGGTGTGTAGCAGCATGCTCTTCTTCGCTTTCCCTAAGTATCTTGTACTCACGGATACACACACAGAGTTTCCAGTCAGTTCATGGCAACACTCCCCCGTCTCTGCATCAGTGCACATGACTACACAGATTCCAGCTCATGAATATTAATAGTGCCTCATTGATTATTTATGACAGAACATGTTAGCAGGGAGGGGTGTCATAGCTGCTGCTGATGACAGATGAATATTCACTAATTAAGAAGCAAATGTAGTGTGGTTAAACAAAATTCATTTGTGTCAATACCATCTCTGTTTATTAAGGATAGAGGGGTTCCACATAGGGCATTAAAAAAAAACATACACTTAATTTCTCCATTGATATAAGCTTTTAATATGGGAATAAGAAATTCAGAAACAGAAATATACATAGTTTACATCTCCATGCTCTGCAACAAGAAGAAATATTTTTAGCATTATTAAACCTAGGGGAAAATGAGTAGGGATAATTCTTTACATTTATAAAATAAATACAGAAGCAAAGGAAAATTTAGTGGGTGATATGGAAAAGGAAGAGAAGGCAGAGAGGTATCATTGAGTTTTTATTCTGATACTACAAAAATAACTGAATAGTTCATATGTAAAGACCATTACTTACAAAGGAGGAAATAAGGGATATTCTCTTAATTCTAAAGAATATTTGGCAAGTATTAGCAGTTGATAGTTGTACAGATAATTAATATTTTAATTAGATAATGAAGGCCCATCTATTGAGTATATATTTGTAGCATATAACGCATGTAGATCTATATTCAAAAAGTAGATCAACACAATGCCTTTTCTAAGAAAAATTTCAAATGCCTATAGTATTTATGCTAATTTTATTAAGGTCATATATAATATTTTAGAAAGCTGATACTGGCAATATTTAAACTTGAATGTAATGCACAATGACTCCATTTATGATTCTATATTTAGAGTTCATTGTGATCAAAGGTGAACAGAGACTTAAAAACTAAGCTTAGATGTTTAGATAACAGAAGTAATGCATTTAATTTCACACTCTTGCAAATACATGTGTTGTATTGCAAGCTGGCAGTTTTTGTCCCTTAAAGCTATGCTACAAACAGCTAAAGCAGATAATAAAAGAAAATTCCTTTTGTTCCCACACTGACTTATCCACAACCTCTGCTAATTAAGAAGTATGTCCCTGTTCCAGCACATCTCTAAACTGGACAGGATAGCAGGTGGGTTCCAAAGCAAAAATAATTACTTGGAAACTGATGACTCTGGTTAGGAATTACACTGCATCTCGAGATTTTTAATTGCTCATCACTGAGGTATAGTTACTTTTGGGGGTCCAATTTCCTAAAAGTGCTTTGTCACATGTTTAGAATCGATAACAGGAAATGATTCTAATGAGCACTAATTGTTAACAAATTGGCTTTGCAACTAGCAACACCTCAACACCAGCAAGTAGCAAGGAGATGAACAATCATCTGCTGCTTATCAGTTGTTTCCCTTGGGATGTAATAATCCGATTTTCTGGGCCTAATTTCACCTAACAGCCTGGACAAAAGCCAAGCTGAGAGACCTACATGAAAGTGGCATCATAATTGGTAACAGTGTGTGTGAAAAAAGTTCTCCAGGACCTCTGGCAAATTAGAAACCACTTGTAGGAGATATTAATGTTAGGACTTGATTCCTCTATGGAAAGAATGTTTTCAAAAAGGTATTTGAGGTGGACTTTATAAAAATTAATGGTGGCCACGAACATAAGCAATCTCCTTCTCAGGTGCAGCTGTAAAACATACATGTCTGATACTTTTGAAAGTTTTCACTTCTCTAAGCCTCTATATCACTTCCCATGAAGTATTTTCATGCTGGAGTTCACACCCTCAAAGCAAACATTGACTATTTCTTTGAAGGATTCTACATTGCTGAGTTGTGAAAGAATTATTGATTCTTAGATGTTCATACTCTGTATTTTATTTTATTTTTTGAGACAGAGTCTTGCTCTGTGGCCCAGGATGGAGTGCAGTGGAGAAATTTCGGCTCACTGGAAACTCTGCCTCCCAGGTTCAAGCGATTCTCCTGCCTGAGCCTCCTGAATAGCTGGGATTACAGTCATGTGCCACCACGCCTGGCTAATTTTTCTATTTTTAGTAGAGACGGGGTTTCACTGTGTCAGCCAGGATGATCTCCATCTCCTGACCTCGTGATCTGCCTGCTTCGGCCTCCCAAAGTGCTGGGATTACAGGCATGAGCCAACGCACCCAGCCCATACTCTACATTTTTTAAAAAGTCAGATCAAGGAATTAGAGTGCAGTAAGGCAAGGATGGCTCACCCTTCTATCAATGAAAATGTTTGCTTTCTCCACTGATACAACTCTCTTGTGTGATAGGTTTTGAAAGCTAAGTAAGAAATTTAAATATCAAAGCTGTTTCTTATTGGAACTTTCTTCTCTTTAAATGCAGTTTGCATTTAAAGAACAATTAAACAATCATAGCTTTAAAAATATTTTCTTACTCATCAAAAAGTAAAGAATGAATATTCTAGGAAAGTAAGCAAGTTCAAATAGAAGCTCATCCTTCAGCAGCTCCTCCTGGCTGTTTCCTTTATTCATTCTTAGTCCCTCTTCTTGTGTTTCTATCTCAGGAAGCAAGAGCAGCTTTTTCAGTCATTTATCAAATGCTGCCCTTGGCCCATTTACCTTGGAGAGATTCCACCTTCTGCTTCTAATGGACTCATCCTATAGAACTGAAGAGTGACTTGGAAAAGGGAGATTCATAATTCCAGAGTTCTCTAAATTTCATTAGACTATGAGGGTTAAGTTTTCCAATAACTAAGTGGCTAAATCTTGCATTGGAGCATAAAGTTTGAAGTAAACAGGGACAAAAACATTCATTTGAGCACTGCCCTGAAAATGCAAATAGAGCGGATATTATTTGTCTTGGGCAATGATAATATGGGATAAAAAATAAGTAGGGAATGAAGGACTATCTTTCCAAGTATCCTTAGAAAATAAACTCATCAAAATGTAAAAACATATGTCGTATGTGTATTTCAAGATATAGTTACTTATTTTAAATGCCTTTAATTTGTGTGAGTTTACTCCACACAAATGCATTGGCATTCAAAATAGGACACATTTGTCAAGATCTAGACTGACGTATAACAGGCTAAACTGGCAAGTGAAAAGAAGAAATCCAACATTTTTCTTGCTTTTTCTGTATAAACTGTACTATGGAGTAGCTAAAGAGTAGATGAGAGGGAGTTTCTCTTTATAGAATTATTCTGACTAATAATTGAAGAATAAATGATAGACTGTCATGCCAACAGTCTTTAATTCATTCAAGGATCTAAGTACTGTGAATGAATGGTGTCTAGCACAACACACTCACACATGCACACGAGATAAGTGTACATTATATGCCACCTGAGACAGAAAAATTGCACAGCCCTTAAATTAGCCTTTCCAAATGTGAGCAAATGTCAGCGAATGCAGGGGACAGAGGAGCATATTAAGCTACACCATGGGGATGCAATCAGTTAAATTCAGACTGTGAGCAACACTACATAGACAGGTACATATTCCAGTTTCAGAGAGAAAAAGAGAAGATGAAGAGGAAGTCTATACATTTAAAAAGATTTTAATAACAATAAAAAGTCATTACTCTCATTACTCTATATTTTCACATATATATATCATTTGGTTGATAAAATTCTAAATAGAAGTAGGAAAATAATTACCAAAAAATTCGGGATGGTGGTTACTCTTTAGGAAGGGACACCAGAAAGTTTCATCATGGCCAGCAAAGTTCTAACTCCTGACAGGGGCAGTAGTTTTCCTAGGTGGTCACATTAAGATTCATTAAACTGACATTTGTTATTGGTGTTTTCCATATTTTTGCTATATTTAACAATAAGACTTAAAAGAGACTAATTGACAAAAGAGGCTGTGCCTATGTCTCATCCCTGGCCGCCAATGTAGTACATAATTGTGCCCCTTACCAAGAGAGGAATAGAAAACCCAACTGAGCCCACTCTGAATCACGAAGCCCATTGAGCCTGTGACTGCTGTCATACATTTCAGATGATGGCTTGCTTATGCCTTTTGCAATGACGCCAGTGTTCTTTTCCTGTGCCAGTGTGGAAGTTCTGTACGTAACTCCGGTTGATTACCCTCTCTTTACCCTTGCCCCTGTCACGTGCAGACCTTCCAACTCTGCCTGCCACCTACCTTGGCATGTGGCTTACAAATTTCTTTTCTAGTCCCAATCCTGAATTCGTTTCAGGAGATACTTATGTGCTTTTGAATATTAGTAGACATGTAGCTGCCTAACATTTTCTGCAGTTAAATACCTTATACGTAATCATAAAGACAAAGAACCTGAGGCCCAAAGACACCGTGACTTGCAGAAGGTCAACCTGGGTAAAGAAATCTGAACTCAGTTTTCCAATGACAAATTCTGTGGTGGAATTCAATCTCTAACATCCTGAGGTGTCTCTCTTGCAGAGGAAGCTAGAGCTACACCAATATGTCTTTATTTGATGATTGAGGAAACGGAGGATAGCCCTTGAAAGTGCTGAAATTAAAGAAAATAAAAGAGAATAAATGTTCAAAGACAGACGTACCTTAAAATAAGGGGAGTAGCTTGTGGTTTAAAATGTAAACTTTATGTATTAAAATGCTGAAAATTTTTTAATGTCACAGGTAAATATCTTTAATCAGCTAATGTCCCACAGTAATCAGTAATTAGGAGATGTACTTGAACACATACTAGGATGACCAGCTTATCTTCATGTGCCTGGGACTTTGTTGGTTTTGGCACTGAAAGTTTCAAATCTGGAATTCCTTAGTTCTGCACAAACCGGTCATTTGAATACATGATTCTGTTTTCAGGATCCAGCAAAGCTGAACTGCTGTATACACGTCTACATCTCCCTACCTGTACTCCCGATGTTACCTCATCCTGCTTATTTTTTGGAAACCCCACAAATTAAACCATCCACACCATTGTCCAGTTTTAAGGCTCCTTCTTCCTTGTTCTCATCAGCTAGCAGTAACTTCTTCAACTTCTGAATTCTTGGTGCATTTTATCCTTACCTATTTGAAGGCACAAATTACTTCTCCTTCACATCATTTTTAGATGCATGCTTTACCTCTCTTATTGGACTATAAGACATGTAAGAGCACCATTAACATTTAATTGATCTTTGAGCCCCCAAAACTCCTAGCATTGTACCTTTCACATTCTGTGCCTTTAATAAACATATATTGAATTAATGAGTGTAATTGGGAGATGAAAGCATATCTGAGTTGGGCAAAGTGACATAAATTTATGTTTGTAATACACATTAGCAAGGACTAATTGCTATATGACATTTTCCCCCATAGGATTGCTTCAAGAATATTAAAGAACATTCTTAATATTCAAGAATATTAAGTTAAAAGACTGAAAGGTCATGAGCATAAACCATTTTTAATTTGATTCAAATCCATAAACATAAATTTGAAAGTCTATGAAAGAAAAACATCTGTGACAGGTATATAAATGAGTACTGTATGATTCAAATGTGCTTTGTCAGCTGTGTATTTATGTGTATATACTATCTGTACATTTAAATTGACATTCTGCTCTACATATCAGCAAATTATTCACTTATTTATTTCAAAAATATTTACTGTGTATTTATCATATGTCTGATGGTATATGAATGCCAGATTTTTGTAGTTGTATATCATCTCATTTAATTTTCACTATATCTCTGAGGTAAATATGTCAGATATTATCCTTTATTTATTAATACAGAAATCATTAGATGTTGAGATTTCTAATGCTGCAAAACCTAGAACTATTGTCTTCTGACTCTAACCTAGTTTTATTTTTAACAGCACTGTGCAACATTAACTAACAGCATGAATTTAGAAAGATGTGTCTGCTAATAGTTCCCATGCATCATCCCCTCCTTGGTTATAGCTCAAGAGATCAATGTGTAAGCAAGCATCCTTTCCGCACTGTGTTCACTAGTTGAACATCTTCAATTTGCATTTACAGTCATTGCTTGCAGAATGAAGAGTGCCTCACCAACTTATGAACTCCCAAGAGTTGTCACAAACATTATTAGACTAGACTCCAGTGGAAAGAAAGGGCATGCGATTTCAAAGAAGAGGACTAGGTTTCTCATCTGAACCTTGTCACTGTCACCTGTATGGGCTTGTACGACTTACAAGCTCTGAGATAATACTTACTCTACAGGCTGACTCTGAAGACGAAATAAGGTAACAAACCTGAGACAGGATTCATGAACTATGAAGTATTCTGCCCTATTGGTGTGCTGGTTAAGCGTGAGTTCTGGGGTCAGTGTGCCCTGGGTCAAGTCTCAGTTTCCCTGATCTCTATTGATGTAATGTGGGACAAGTCTTATTATTTTCTCAATCTTCTGTGTTTCTTGGTTTCTCATCTCTAAAACAGGGATAATAATAGCACCTACTATATAGTTATTGCAAGAGATGAATTTGCTGTGATGATAGTATGTGTCAAGTACATATGTGCCAAATCCTTGTTGGCCATTAGTAATCACAGGACTAAGTATAATGATAATGATGACCTTCATTTTCAGTTTCCAAGTTGATACGGTTTGGATCTGTGTCCCCACCCAAATCTCATGTCAAATTGTAATGCCCAGTGTTGGAGGTGGGGCCTAGTGGGAGGTGATTAGATCGTGGGGGCAGATCCTTCATGAATGGCTTACCACCATTAAAAAGCACGTAGCTTTTAAACACAAGCTTTTAAACACAAGTGGTGGCACCACTCCCATCTTGCTCCAGCTCTCGCCATGTGAGATGCCTCGTTCCCCCTTTGCTTTCAGTCATGATTGAAAGTTCCCTGCAGCCTCCACAGAAGCAGAAGCCTCTATGGCTCCTGTACAGCCTGCAGAACTGTGAGCCAATTCAACCTCTTTTCTTTATAAATTACCCAGTCTCAAGTATTTCTTTACAGCAATGTGAAAACAGACTAATACATAATTTATCTT